AAACAAAACTTGATAACTAAAATAAAATATATAAAAAATAAATAATTAAATTAATGTTAATAAAAATATGGGGAAAACTGAAATAAAAGCCCAAAACAAAGATCATACCGTACATGTAATTAGATTTCACTTTCCTTATGTATTTTCAGGTGGATACAAAGCTCATCTGTGTTTTTGCAGAGCAGATTTTCCATACAGGGTTTGTGCATGCAGATCCACATCCGGGCAACGGTAAACAACACTGAACTGCAAAACCATTTATTTTCACTATTTTGATGTTTTCTGCAATTTTATTGGGTTTTAAATTAACATAACAAAAAAACAAGGAGTTCTATTGTTATCCTACATGTTAATATGGATTTAAATTTTTTAATGAAGTTTACCTGTCATTGAAAATAGTGAAATTAAAACCCAGAGAATAATTAGTGTGTTTACAGTATTGATCTCAGATCTATAAAGGATGCAAGTCTGTAAGAATTGGCCGACAACATTAAATTTGAACACTGGCCTTTTCCCCATCTTGAATATGTCACATGATAGTCACATTTGTTTATTGGTATTTACACAAAATCAAGATCTATTCATTAAAATAATCATGCTTGTATTGTTTTTATTGCAGTGTTTGTTCGAAAAGGCAAGGACAGTAAAGCAGAGCTTGTTCTATTAGATCATGGACTTTATGATGAAATTTCCTCTAAGTATGTTATGTTGAAGCAAATGGTTTTGCCTGTGTATATATTAACACTGTTTCTGGCAATACTATGAGTTTATTACAAAGATACCTCAAAGTTTTACACAAAGACAACGAAAGTATTGACCGGCGCGCAGCGGAGGTCGATGCAACGCTGTACTGTCTGATTGCAAACTTTGTGGTATCCTTGTAATAACCTTATTACTTTGCATCCTCTTCTTCCAAGGATACATCATGGGAATGCCAAAATCCAAAATGTTTAGAACAGAATCAGCGAACGTCTTTGTGTGGAGTTCGGTCAAACCCTGGTGGCAGCCATGTTTGTTTTTATAATTAGAGGACACTCACGCTCGTAATCATTCCATATTTGGATTTTGCATTTCCTAATATGGCGTTACGATAACAAATGTATAATAATACATGTTATCTATAGTACTAGCCATGAATAAATACTATCAGATCGGGAATATGAAAAATAGCTACAAAATACTAAGATTTGTTATATGTGATGCTGACTACATTACAATGGTGGCTCAAGTGAAGTTTCCATTTACTGATATAATGTTTGTTCTTTCAGGGACAGAGTGTCACTCTGCAGACTTTGGAAAGCTATTGTGCTTCGTGATGAACCCAGTATGCAAATATATTCTAATGAGCTTGGAGTTAAAGGTACGACTGTAGTGCCCTTTTGTTGGTGTAGTACATACTGAACATAAAAAAATATTTGTTGCATTTATCTTATAAAACAACTCTGTGGTCAGAACTGTGCATAATAATGACCAATTTTTAAATAAATTGCTAAAAGCTAGTTGTGCATTCACAGGCAAACAATGTAAACAATTGTCATGCTTGGTAAAGTTTTTCTGTGACAATACCGTACAAATTTCAAATGCACGAGGGTTAATGTTGTGTTACTTAATCTCCAAAGTACACATTTGTGGAAACAAAAAAATGACCAGAAACTTATTTAAAAATTGTAAGATTGGTGATCACATTGTGTAAGTTGATGATGATTGTTTAGAATACAGTTCCACGTATATTATGAGGTTATTAC